TGTTGTCGTTGTGGTTTTGCTCTAGCCAGCAAAATCAATCACGCACAAAAAAAAAGAAGAAGAAAAGCGCAAGATTGCGGCGCATTCACTGTGCGTTACTGCGTGTACACCAACACGCTGTTTACAAACAAGCCCTCGTTTGATCACACCGGGTGTGGGCACTGCGCGTGCGCAGAAACAAGACTGGAGAGAGGTGAAGCGTCTGCGCTTGCTCAGTGGCGATAGCAGCGCCACCGTAGTGACGTGACGTCAGAAATGCAAACACCATCTGCCGACACCAGTTGCTCACACCAGCATCCTTACCGTTGAGACCAATCCCAGACAAAGACTTTTCCTTAAACCCTGGCACATCCAAACGACGCCAGAAATCATAAATAGGTCCTAGGGTGCCTCCATCTGCCGGCCGCTTCCGCTGACAGGGTGGAGACACCAATGAAGCCAATGGAGCGCCACAATATGGCGCCTGAGGTCAGTATTAGCTCCACATTGGGTGCGGCTCCTGTAGAGTGTGTGTGACACAGTTGTGGTGCAAAAACGTTGTGTTTAGCGGAAGTTCTGGAAAAATAGACGCAATATGACGCCGGTGAGAGCATCGCAAGGTTCGCCACAAAACGGCGGGTGTCTCCACCCTGTCAGCGGAGCGGCCAGCAAATGGAGGCACCCTTATAGATCCCTCGGCACTCTGCCGACCGTCTACGACTCTACGTGAACGGACTTCGCCACCTCCCCGATGCAAAACAAAAGACACCGCCGTAGAATAAGAAGAAAACATAATACTGCTCCTCAACGGCCATAGCCGCAGTCAACCCCTGAAGAAGAGACCGAACAGGTCTCGAAACGCAGGGTTCCCCATGTAAACCAGGATTTGGGTGGTGTGTATTCTTATTTATTATTAAAATAAGTATATCTTTGAAGTTTATACCAAAATGCTGAGGAAACAGCTCCTTCCCGCCAGATGGTTTTCTATTATTTCCTTTCACACGGTGTCACTGTTGCCATTGCTTCCGATGCCATCAAACGCGCGCTCCGCTTACTCTATATACTGCCCCTATTCCTGCACACTGTTTCGGTAATCAACGACGAGGGAAAAATCGCCAATAACCGAAAACGTCGCGATTTCGAAAGCGGAAAGAAATGGGAGCATCTAAGGTAGCTACGTCACTTCCTCCGATTTGTAAGGAAACGATGAGGAAAGCTTACATTAAAGGAGCCAACATAAGGAAAGGTCGATTCATGATTCGTAAGTGCGCCTACTTGCGAAAGGAGAGGCGCTGATTAAGGAAAGGAGGATTCTTGAATTCGGAGGTGTGCCTCCCGATTGTATCCGTATAGGATTTAGATACACATCAATTTATTTCTCTTTCCTTCAAAGTCGCGCTTCTTCGCACGCTCGTTCATCGCGCACTCTAGTGTGCTTGCCTGCCTGCATCCATTTTCTGTCAACATGTCGCCCTGTCGAGTCGTCGTGAAACAGAGAATCGCTCGACGGGCATATTCGTGAGCTCCGAGTTCACACTTACTCCCAAGGCGTGGAGACACGGACGCGTTCCAGTGGCACGCATCCGCACGGCAGAAGACACCGGAAGAAACGCGACTCCGTGGCGGCGACACGACGCAGACGTATAGCAAGAACCCGGATGACACCAGGAAGGCGTCTTCTCCCTGGGGCGTGGCTAATCGGCCGAGCATAACCGTACACTAAAAACAACAATGAAGGAAGGGGGTTGTAGGGCACTCGAGGAATACATTTGACAATGCGAAGCCTTCACGCTAGGTCATGGATGGCACGACATAATTGTAAGCCTTTATGTACCGCGGCGTTAACTCGGTTATGACGGCTCTGCGTGGCTGTGTCTTACCCCGGGCTTACAAAGAGTTTATATTTCGCACTCGGAAATGGGGGATCGCTGGCCGAGTGCGTGTTACCGCAGCTGGGCGCATGGAGCTGAAGCCCGCGCTGCAGTACCTTGGGATCCATGACTTCAATAGACCTATTGCTATATTACCCAAGCATCGAGGAGAATGCAAGGATCGGTGTTCCACGCGTAACTTTTCTAAAGCAAATACCTAAAACAAATGGCACCTTGCACGCGCGTTCGTTAACGCTTTATTTTGGTTGTTTGCTTAGAGTCTTTTTTTACGGGGATGACATGCGTGTGTGGCGCGTGGAACACCAATCCCTGCATTCTCCTTGATGCTTGGGTAATATAGCAAATGGTCTATAGACTACTAACAAAAAAAACCTCCATGCTATAATGCGTGCGTTGCATTATGGGACCATTTTGGCCATGGAGAGGAGTGGCATGGTTTCGGTTTTGATTGCCCCGTCGACGAAGTGGTGCATCTCGGCATTGGATTAAAATAAAGACAGCGCTCGCTTGCATCGCTCCCATCCATCTTCGTGAGAGCGCCCGTTGAGACACGGACCTCCATCGGCCGTAAGGACCTGCCTAGACTTAGCGAGGAGTATTACTAAGGCCTGCCGCGTCCCATAGCTTTCTGGCAGCCTGGCCACCACTCCAGAGTGCAGTATGACCCTCCCGGGTAACGGAACATTTAAGAAGCGCAGGACATTGAGACCATGAAACAGAATGATCGGCCCATCAGAGTTCTTCTTTCTTTGTTTAGCTGCGCACAAACTCTGGTACGTTGGGAGTACCCCTAAAAACGTGCTCCAGCATCCTATCCGTATTGGTAGGCCACACCATAAATTTAAGAAAAGTCACATATTCCAAGTGCATGCACTACATTTGGTTGTAACGGGATGTCGTGAACTGAGGTTGACAAATCAAACCCGAAACGGTGGCTAAAAGGTACCAGAGATGCTTTGCGCGGCACTACGCCGCTAGGATAGCTTCGATTTTACGTGACGTCTATCCCTACCCCTACCCCTTTCGATCTGGATGATCAACGTGCCGGTGTGTGTTCGCTTACTCACTACTGCGTCATGCACGTTAAAGACCCTGAAACGAGCAGTGGTACTGCACTGGCTAAATTGCTCATCTACACCGGAGACAGTACACGCCTTATAGGGCTGAACAACTTCCCGCTGTCTAAACATACACTCTGACACAACTATATCTTATTCGGGGATCTGAGAGAGGGCGAGGTCGTTCGTGAAGATGAGAGGATGATTAGTGTGATGGGGTCAAAATTTCTGTGCACGGGCTTCGTTGGTCCTCGCTAGTCTAGGAGCACGTGTTGAGAGCTAATAACTTCGTTTACACTTAAGCTGAGACTAGAAGCTCCACCTTCAGTGCGAGCTTTCTGCCCTTTCTAACACAAGTGTGAACGCACACAGGCATGCGCAACCGAAGCACTGCGGAAGCCAGAGAGCTTGCGCTGAAGATAGAGCTTCTAGCCTCACCTCAAGGGTGAAAGGAGTATAAGTACCGTGTACTAGAATACTTATTCTAGTACACTGTAGTATAGGGGTCCATTAGAACGCGTTGTTCGATATTCTAGGCCGCACGCACAATTCTCATTTGTGTAGTTTGTATGACGCCATTGGCTGAGATGTTGAACATGAATTGTAATTGGTTTACTTTGTGCAGCTCAGAACGGTATACCAAAAATAAATAGCCGATGGTATTAGCTAATGGGCTAATCAATAAGAATTAAAAGCGCCACGCCGCGGTGTTTTTTTTTTTCACATTTAGTGCGTTGTTGCAACCATCATTCAGCGTGGTCTATGTAGAAGAGGAATACGTCGGGCTCCGGAAGTATACGTATAATAAATCGCGTATTTCCGTTTAACCTTCACTGTCCTTCCAACAGTAGGCCAGTTCAAACAATCACATTCTGCGCACTAGAATGCGTCCTGTGAGCAGTAACTCTTCTGTCGAATATCAGGCGACGCCCAGTGACTCCACTTTTTTTATACTTTTTTTTTATTTTTTATGGCGTTTACCGCACAGGAATTTATTCCTCCACATTTCACCCAGGACGAACATATCAACAGTCTCGTGCACGAGGAAAATCATTCTTCCTGTTATTGTGCCGTAGGAGCGGGTGCTATAATACAAAAAGCGAAAGCCCAGATACCAAGCGCTCGCTCTCCCTCACGTCCTTGGAGCACCGAACGAGGAAGGGACAACTGTGTAACTCCGTGGTCTTCCGAGCTGCCATCCGCGTGTCCTTTCCGCGTCCTCCCGCCTGAGAACAAGACGACCGCAAAGCACTCGCCGCTCTGCGGGACATCCAAACACACACCCGCACACATCCTCGTGCGCACACGCAGAACGTCCTTCATTAGAAGGGTTCGTGACCTTCGTGTTGCTCACCGACAAACGAGAACCAATTGGAGCACGACATCATCGAAGGGTTGTCGTACGCACGCCGCTTCATTTCTTCCTGCTCGGTCAATTGTGTCCGTGTCTCGGTCAATCCCGCAGAGGAACTTGGCGTCGAGCGGCACTCGTTTGTTCACTCGATTTCCTGGAATGATTGCGCCTGCGAGGAGCCCACTGAGATGCTTCCAAATGCGTTACTCTTCATGGAAGTGCATACCGTGCATGCGCTCCAGATGTTGCTGTGTGGAAGTGTAACGGCGGTAGAGTTGGATTATGCCTGAACATGCGAACTTGCGCCGCGCTGACCCTGCCTGGGACGAGTTTGGGAGGTCTGTAGGCCATTAGCACATATAGAATACTGGTGTGCCACAAAAGCAGAGTAATTTTTGTTTGTGTTTATGTCGTGTCGCTTTTTTGGCTATCCGAACGGAACGATTGTGAGCTGGCTCAACCTGAGATGGAAACAGTCATGTACCCTATTGCTTGAATTCACTTTTTTATAGGAGTCTAAGAAAACCTACAACCAAAAGAGATATATGCGTTTCATAGGGTCTAAAAGAATAACTTAATAAATACGATGACATTAACAACACCTTTGTTTCCTAAATTGGAATGACAGATGTTAATCTAAAGACAGAGCTTGTAGTGTCACTATCAGCTACCAAAAAAAAAAAGGCTAATCTTACCGTTACTACCTCCTCTCTGCAGAGTATCACGGTGCCCGTACGGATCATTGTGACGGACGCCAACGACAACGCCCCGGAATTCCAGGGTACCCCGTACTTCCTCAACGTCAGTGAGGTGAGTAAAGTATTCAACTCCTTTTATATGTCGTTACACCATTTGATTGGCTGCCGCGCTTCATTCGACGCACGAGTGTAACATAGTTAAACGTAACGCAGTCATACGGTAGTCGAACGGGTACTGCGTGTACGCATGGCTTACACGTACCCTCTGCAGTATGCATTACGCAACCACCAAGCAAGGTTCACCATGAGCATAGCGCGACGACGTCATGTGCAAGCAGTGTATGAGAACGACAGCAACGACATAATCCCCGGAACAACCCTATGCCGCATTACGACCAAGGAGTGGATGGTTTACGAATGCGGAGAGCTTCTGCGCATGCGTAGTGCGATGCCCTAAGCTGCTCAGGAGACCCGAAGCTGTCCGCAGAGCCGTATATACTGGCTCTGCGGTGGATTTGTCGTCGCTGTCGTCTCACCTGCTCTGAACCCAGCCGACGCGAATAAACAAAATTGTGCGCTCGGATCATTAGCGGCACAGACCCAAGGTGAAAGATTCCGAACGTGTCAAACGTAACACACGAGTAGAGAGGAACAGAGGGGATACATCCGAGAGTTCACATCGGTCACCACGAGCGGCAGAGAGCTAACTCCTACAAGAATTGGAAACACGATATCGGTGGTGTCCTTCGAAAAGTAACCCTTCGCGGTCCGAAAAAGGCGTACGAATTACAAGTTCGTCGCAGAGGATATATGGCGAGAATGAGCGTTAGGGGGAACTGAAGTCACTGGATCGCGGGAAACTAGCGTCATTGCCTTCCTTGCCTTCTAGCCGGACACAAACAGATACTAACGTACAGACGACCAAACTTCGCAAAGTGATTGGCTGATCGGCCTCAGTTGGTACGACAATCAGCATCTCGGTCAATTTAAATCTTCGAAATTTCACAAGGGTTATTTTGAACTAGTCGCGCCAAGATCGCCATGGAGCGTCATCCCACTGGAAGCGTTCCTCGTCAATATAAGCGTCTCTGGCACTGTGCAGTAATCCACTAATCGATCGTGCTTATCTCCACAGATCTCTTACCATGGTACTGGTATTCTCGCGTATTTAAAGACAGGAAAATTATTTTTCAATGCCGCCAAGCACCGACGCCGCATGTGGGGGGCGGTGCGAAGATGAGCGCTTGTTTCGCCGGTCTGTGGATGACAAAATCTGGGCGTTCGAGAAATGTCTTAAAGGCCGACGTACACTTCGCGCTTTCCACTTTCGCCCGCCTCCTCCTTTCCTATATCCTCTCCATTTTTCACCTTGCCCCAACCTGGCTCCCTCTCGCAGCTTAGGAGAGGGGCAGCGCTAAGAAGATTATCTTCCCTGCAGAAAACCGAGGTTGTACGTCGGCCCAACCTCTCACAGGGAATTTGGATCCGCTCATCGAAAATGGAGACGTCAAGGAGAAACTGCTCATTCCATGGATCAAAATGGCTACCATACGTGGAGCTTGGCGCTACTTTCAGAGGACCCAGTGACATTAGGGGGAACAGCGCGTAGCTAAGCGATTGCGGCTCTCTCTTGCAGAGGACAGACGTTCGTGGTTATAAATTCCTGCTCGTAAACGCTCTTAGACAAACACACACACACACACACAAGAATACTTGAGTTTTAAACTTTTCAAGTGTGTCCTGGAAGGCACCTCTAGCCAACACCTTCTAAAAATTAAAACCTATGCGCCCGCTCCGTGACGTCACTGCAGCTAGGCCAGCGAGCGGAAAAGCGAGTCGCCTAAGCGCTGGGCTTTGCTCTACCGCCGAGTTGGCGTGCGGCCTGTAGCTTCGATGGGAAATATAGTACGTACGAATGTCACTTAACCGTGCGTGACGACGACGTAATGAATCGAATATACAGCTTTTATTATTAGATATATGGTATAAAACTCTGAATTTTATAATAGATATTACGACTACACCCTTTCGTGTCTTGTCTTGTGTACACCGTTATTCAAAGGTAACAGCACGCTCTCAACCTGCCACTGCAAGTTGGACAGCCACTTTTGCATTTGAAAAAGGAACGAAATAAAGCGGCATTATTTAAAACAGGCAGTTTGAAGGGAGTGAAACAAGCAGATGCAACATGAAATATGACTAATCAAGTACGTGTCAGAAAGCTATCATGTAATAAACGAAGGGGACAGATCCATACTTCCTCGCATGAGATAACTTTCTTTTTGCCGCCGTATGTCAATCTACGTTCCTAAGCTGAGTGCCAGGACGTCAGCTCATACAATACGACGGTCCGCCAGCTGAGGACACTCGCTCAGCTCCTCGCCCTCAATGGGCGAACACTTCAGGTTGGGTGGGTGCCGGGTCATTCCGGCATCCACGGAAACGAAGAGGCCCACAACGCGGTCAATGCAGTGCTAGAATCTGCGCCGGTGCTTCCAAATCAGGACCAACAGGGTGTCAGTCGTGAAGAAGAAAATAATGTCCTACCCTTCAACCCAGACGCATTTCTGTCCCTGAAAAGGAAGCATCGAAGGGAAACCCTCGCTGCCCAAATACCACCAGACCCTCACGGAACCCTACCGACACACTTCAGTCGGGCCGATAGGGCAATTCTGCGGCGTATTAGAACGCGCACCGCCATAACTCCGGCTCTTCAGTATAAGTTTGGCCTCACAAGACGACGAGGACACCCAGACGACCCGCCACCCGTTGTCGCAGGAGAGTGTGACCGGTGTAAGTCCGGACAGCAAGCTACGCTGGGGGGGGGGGGGGGGGGGGGGGGGAGCACCTTGTCTGGGGATGCACTGCGACAGAGCGTATTCGCCGAAGTGTCCTCCGCGGACTACCACATCAGCTTCGTTCTACAAACTTCCAAGAATGGACGAGTCCCGAAGGCGAACAAGCAGACAGAGAGACAGTGCTTCAAGGGGTACTCCGCCGATTTTTGAGCTACCTCAACTAACTATATTTTCTGACTCCCAGGCCTTTACCCTTTCTGGTATGCTATTTAGTATCGCGAAATTCATAATAGTTATTGCGAAATCGGCAAATGAAAATGATGCAAAAACAGACATTCAAATATACCCGCCCTTTTCAGGGCCGTGACGTCAGTGGAAGTTCAGCTTGCCAGTCGGGCGAGCAGTTTAAAAAATAGAATATGCCAATCATTTGTTCCGTGCTGGAGCGCGGGAACTGGAGCCAGCTTCCAAGGCATTCATTTGACACCATGAAACTGCTTCGAATCAGTTGGGAGCAGATTCTACAGTCCAAAGAGTGAACCCCTGCACTTCCAATGACGTCACTTTTTTATTGTTGCCAGTAGAGACTTTCAGTTTGAAAAACACGGTGAGGACCAAAATTGTAAATTCAATAACTTTGTAAAAAAAAATTATTTTGACCTAATATTTGGGATACTATTTTGGTGATGTTGTTTGGCGAGTTTAGCAAAATTTCAAGCAAATCGGAGACCATGAAGAAATCGGCGGAGTACCCCTTTCAGTCCCTCCTGAAATTCATTCGGGAGGCAGGCATTCGCCACCTATTTTAACATATTTTCATCCGACATCATCGCCATCGCTCATCTCCTCCCACAAATGATCTGAGATCAAGGTGGTGAGGGCATCAATAAAAACAAAACGTGAACAACAACAACAACTACGTTCCTTGTTGTTGTTGTTTTATATAGGAATATTAACGTTTGACGCACAAAGACAGTCGCTTTTTGGCTGGAGCAGACCTTGCATCCTGCACTAAAGCATGATTTTTCCCCTTGCACGTATTGTTGAGAAGAACGTTAGTCAACAAAGTGAGTACGTGTTTAAGGCTTAATTAAGCCCTGCTAGAGGAGTGTGATCGCTTGCACAAGTGGCCAACTCTTCGAACTCTGGCAGCGCAGTTAGTGTTAGATCAACGACAATTCTTGCGTTGATCACGTAACCCCAAGAGCTGTCCGATGTGATGGGGCGGCATAAGCTTGTTCACAATTTCAGAGTGCATCACCACACTGACGACCAGTTGTGTTGAAAGGTGCGTTCCACCTCGATCTAAAGCATCTGCCAGATGATGTACCACTGCGTCGTGATGAAGTGTCGCCTCCAACATCAAATGTTATCTGCGGTATCCACACTTGGGTGTGTTCACAGCCACAGAGGCGAAATAACCAGCTACGTAGGTCAGGAGTCTTGGACGATAGAGCTGCCAAATCATAGTCGGTGATGGCGAATGCGAAAGCTAGAAAACAAAGCAAAATACTTTGTGCAGGTAAATCTCACGCTAAAACAAAAAAAAAATTAAGACTTTGGAAATGTTAGCATAATTATTCTAAAAATGCCCAATATGCCTCCTTGAGACTACAGAAAATAGCGGAGTTTACTACACTATTATACCCTTCCGGACACAATGACAATTCAGAAGTGCAAGAGTGCAAGGATGGAACAAAATGCTGCCAAACCAACATACCTTCGAAGAGCTCCGTAACTTGAACTACTTTCTCCTAATCCGTTGGATACGCCGTTGCTCGTCGGTTGGGAAGGAGAACATGTGGACCTTCGGTCGCCAGCGCAATTTCCCCGACACCGAGGGCACACAACACTTATAAGGCATTGATCGTCACATTCGCACATAACAAAAATATTAGAGATTCCAGTCGCCGACGGACACAGTGAATACGCAGGCGTGTTGGTTCCGCATTTCGAACGGCTTTCTGCGTTGCACGATTTCTCACATGTCGGGCTTTGCATCGCTTGCACGCAGCCTGCAGTCTGATAAACTTAAATCGTCATGTCGCGAAATATATATATTTTTTTTAAATCATTTCTATGAAATATGTTGTTACAACCATAGCCTCCTATATACTGACAAAGCCTAGCAGATCGCCACGAGAAGCGGCCGCCGAAATGGAAAAGGTGGAGCGGCAGACAACAGACGAAGGGAGAGCCACGTGACTGGCGCCCCGCTGCGGCGAGACGCAGAAACACACTTCTCCCGAGCGAACAAGTGTGTTTCGGGTCCTCGCCGCTGCAAAGCTGTACGCTGACGTCCAGGTTCCCCGAA